TGTAATCAAGAATACAATCCAAGCTGCGACGCAGTGTTCCGCGCTCGCGCTACAACATACGCGACACTCACCTTTCTTCTCCTTGTTACAGCGTGGGAGGTGAAGCACTTTTCTCGTTCCCTATTCAACATGGATCCGATCCGAAATCCCAAAACATTCTCAGTTTTTCCCACCCTCTGGAAGAACCGCTTCCTCTTTTGGGCGGTCATGGCTGGCTTTGTCGTTGCCTTCCCAGTCATTTACCTCCCAGTTGTCAACCAACTTGTATTCAAGCATCATGCTATCACCTGGGAGTGGGGAGTGGTCCTTGGCTGTACATGTGTCTACCTGTTGTGCGTTGAGAGCTGGAAGGCCGTGAAGAGGTCACTAGGCATTGGGAGCGGAAAGAATGCAACGCTTACTCTAGAGGATGCTGAGACTCGGGCAGGATTGGCCACTCTTACGCCACTATCACTAAGCGCGAATGCGAGCGTGGAACTGAAGTGATTTTGGAACATATGTCTGACTGGTTCAACACCAGGTCGGTCATGAAGCGCTGCCTCTCAGATGTTCAACACGCTGCTATTTATTCATTTTCTTATCTAACTTTATGTTTCCAGAATGAAATTATTTGATATATCTTCAACTAGCATGGATTTTCCGGGACTTAAAATGGTCATGTCCTTCCTATTCAAACAATATCACACCTCAAAGAAACGGAGAGAACACTGGGTTATGTTTTGGAATAAATTTATTATCATCCAACTAGGATCCAAGACCTTTGAAATCGAGGAAATTCTGGGCAGTCCACGTAAATGTTGAGTACTAATCAGGTCTCTGCCGAGGCACTTGCAGGTGCCCCGGCAGTCCTAGAGTGCGTGGTATTTGATAGCGGCCTTGTCAATAGATTATCAATCAACCTGTTGCTTTCAAATCACTGCCGATCTGAGAACGGGACATCAGATGATGCTTTCCACAAGTGGATGTACTATCAGTATGTCCATGCATCCAGGGATAGTTGTTCCTACGGAGACTAACCCTAAAACGGATAGAGCCTTAATATGATTGGCCTTTGTCCGAACCTCGGGAAACTTCCTCAGTGCCGAAGGTATCCGCGCCCTAATTTAGAAGGTAAAGACCGTTATGAAGAATTTATGTTTATTCAACGTTGTGTAATCATTTTTGATATGCTTCCTGATGTTCCTGGCGTGTTTGGGCAAAGGTTCAATTGATAACCGTCGCAATTGGTTTGGAACTAGTCTGGGCTGGCAAGACAACAGTTAGTTGGAAGTGAGATTTAAACCGAGGACCCGAGGGACACTCCTGTACGAAACGCAGGAGAATGGCTCGATTAATAATCAGGTTTGAGATAACAAAGGAGGGGCAGGTGACGAGCGGAAAATTCTAGAAAAATCCAAGCCTGTTTTATGAAGGTTCTACATTGACAATGTCAATGACAACTAATGAAAAATATATCACTTGGAATACAGGGATAGATAATGTGGGAACAAAAATGGTAGCCTTGCGGTTCTCTAAGTTATCCAGTAGACACAAAGTAGTGTCTTATTCCGGGGTCTCGGAGACATTGTAGACCAGCTTCTCGCCGCTGACCTTGTCCTCCTTGAGCAACTTCAGGCCCTCGATCACACCCTTTAATCCATGCTCACCAACCTTTGGAGGGTGAACCTTAACCTTTCCTTGGGCTAGTAGACTCTCAGCAATGGGAATGAACTTCTCAGCGAAAGCTCTGTCCTCTGGCTTGGCGGGGAAGGAAATATCCCCGAAGGTGAATGCCTCGCCCATGGCGGTATAACCCAAGGTGAAGCGGTCATTCACATTGGCACGGTTAATTTTGGTGTTCAACAGAGCGCTATACTCGCCACCATCAGTGGAGATAGAATTGTCGCAGAACGCAGCGCTGGACTCGAGCGAGATGCAGTCGAATACGAGCTTCAGGTTGTTATCGGTGGCCTTGCGAATTTGAGCGGGGGCCTGAGCGTCCTTGTAGTCATAAACATCATCGGCGCCAAGGCTGCGGACCAAATCGAAGTTGTGCGGGGAGCAAGTGGTCAGGACCTTGTAGCCCGAGAGCTTGGCAAATTGGATGGCCAGGGTGCCGGTCGCGGTGGATCCGCCGTAAATAAGAATCGGGGTCGCATCCTTAATGGGTTCGGTGGGCAATGCAAGCTTCAAACTCTGGTACAGACCCTGGCCCACGGTGTTGATGCCCACTCCGAGGGTGGCGGCCTCCTGGAAGCTCATATTTTCGGGTATCTTCCACTGTACGTCACCCTTGGCGACAATGTACTCGGCGAAACCGCCATCCTCAGGCTGCACTGCATTGGCACCGTGCACGAATCCACACACGCGGTCACCCTTATTGAAATTCTTTTTTACATCCTTACCGATGTCCTCGACAATGCCTGCATAGTCGCATCCGATGAGAACACCGGTAGGAGAAAGGTAAGCAACGTGCTTCCAGTCGGTGGGGTTCAAGCCCACACTGACGGTCTTGACAAGAATGTAGTCATCGCGAAGCTTGGGAAGGGGACGATCAGTGACCAAGCCCTCGGTCTTGGGTTGGGTGATGACGACTGCCTTCATGGTGGTAGTATGGATATAAAGGAGAAAGAAAGTGATCTGGAATATGGAATATGAAGAAGATGGAGTATTAAATAGTTTGTTGATTACAAATTGGGAGAAGTATGACAAAATACTCGGGATATCCACTTTATATCTCCACTTGGACAATTTTCTGAGGGTCGTCACAATTATTGCACCGACTCCGTCTTGGTTTATCCGCCTCTACACAGTTGGTTAACAGGTTAACAGCGTTGCCCCTGGAACAGTGGTGTTTTATACTTATGTGTGCCACGCATGAATATGCTACACAGCCTTTATCACGCGAAAACGGAAGCCCCCACATTGGACATCTTTCAATTCACACTGAAAAGTAGGCCCCAATCGATACTCCCTCTACCTATTCCATACTCTGGGTCTTGATTTAGTCTTGGCCAATTTTCAATGTTGCACCAGGGATCATTGACATGAACACGAATGCAGTCAAGCCTTTGACGCATTTAGAGAGGCCATATTGCGCCAATCATTCACCTGAAACGAAGCACTATGAGTATTGCAGATAAGAAAGACACTACATATGTTCCAACCGTAGCCTAGAGGCCGATTTTCGACGGACAAATGGTCAAATTTCTAAAAGTAACATTTCCACCATGACACAGTATATAGATACAATTCAGAAATAAAGTGCCAGAAAGACCAGGATGCTCAGAAAGGAATAAGATCGTACCCCGATCATATACTAGGCTTGATAATACGGAGAAAACTGGCAGGAAAACTACAAAAGCCGCGGCAACTTTAAATCTACCTTCGAGATTTCTATCAATTTATTTTCAGTGTAAGTATGTCTGACATGCCAGTATATGAGGTTCTCCGCCTAATTGGCGCAAGGGGGTATCAGCCAAGACTAGAAACAAAATCAGGGTTCAAAGCCGTTTGAGAATAATGGTCAGACTTGTATCCTGTGATTCGAGTCCAAACCAACGGATTTGACGTCTTTGGACTGTTCGAAATAAGGCATTATCCCGGAACCGTCATATCGCGGGGTCGAGTCGGTTAGTGCTTACCTGCATGAACTTGAACCCCTCCGACAGAATTTCCCCTCTTATTTCAACTTCAACCAGAATATCATCATGAAAGTGCTTTGCCTCCACGGCAGAGGGACTAGTGGCTCCATCTTCAAGTCCCAAATTGGTCAGCCCTTCCCCCGCTGTCCACCGGTCTTTCCAGCTAACTAATATCCCCAGCCACATTCCGCGCCAAACTTCCCGACGACATACAGTTTGACTTCATCGATGGTCCATTCGAGTGTGACGCCGCTCCGGGAGTAGATATCTTCTACGGTCCGCCATACTACTCTTTTTGGCAAAATGACAAGGTTGAGTCCGTCCGAGCCACCTACGACTGGCTGACTGCTCATATCGCCAAAAATGGCCCATACGATCTCGCACTCATGTTCTCTCAAGGCTGCGCCCTGGGATCTAGTGCTCTGCTATTCCACCACGAAGAGACACCCCACCTCCCGCCGCCGTTCAAAGCGGCTATTTTTGTGTGCGGTGGTGCATCGTTGGGTGTTCTTGAGGAGATGGGCTTCCATGTTTCTGCCGAGGCGCGCAGACGTGATCTTGCATCCCGGTCTGCATTAAACCAACAAGCTCACTCGGCGGCTCTCTTGGCGCAGGGTGGGGAGCGGTGGATTGGTCTCCAAAGTCCAGACAGCGGGCTCTCGGAGGCCGAATTGCGGAATGAGATTACTAGTCCCTACCACATCAACATTCCCACGGTACATATTTACGGCTCGAAAGATCCTCGGTGGGCGGCCGGTGTGCATCTGTCTGGTATCTGCGAAGCAACGAAACGTCGCACCTATGATCATGGCGGTGGACATGAAATTCCTAGGACGGCTGCGGTGAGCAACTCGATCGCAGAACTTTTCCAGTGGGCTGTTGCACAGAGTCAAATTGAACAGTGATGGTTTAATTTAAGTGTCTCATATGTTTTTCTTTTGTTTTCTTATACAATTGTTTCCCTTTCGGTATTTGGGATAGATATATACAGTGGAATTGCTAGGTTTCGGAATTCAAGAATATCCCCGCACGGGCAATGTCCGTTGGGGTTAATATAACACCCCTCACCCCTTATGATCCTTCGATCCACTACTGTCTTGGTATTCGTATTCACATCATCATTATCATTATCATTATCATTATTGCTTGACTTCAACGTTCGTATCTATTTAATCCACTACATCGTACATCTATCGAATCCACATTCAAAAATAAACTCTATCGGTAATAATCTCCAGCCTAGCCTAGCCCTAAGCCACGCTAGACAAGGATTTCCCGCCCACTCGTAAATTGAAAAAAAAAATAAAAATAAAAAAATAAAGAAAGAAAAGAAAATATAAAAAAAACCTCAGGTGAAAAAAATTGCCAATAGTCACCATGTGGGATGAGATGCTCACGCTCACGCGGGCTGAAGAGTCCAAGGAGTTTAAGTTATTCGAGGCACTTGTCAATGGGGATGTTGAGGTTGATGATGCTGTACAATGGGTCATAGCTGCGACAATGGACAGACTGGAAGACTACGGCCCAGGAGGCACTATCGAGAAGGCCGATGCAATAACATTTATAGCTATCATTGAGTTGGCTATGCAAATCGATACAACTCAGTATGATCCATTGGTTAAGTTCCTGGCAGAGTTGAAGCTGTACAATGCCGTCGATTCGTCGACTGGGTTGGTCCTAAAGACACAAGATGGAAGCAGAGTATGGTCACATCTACCGTCCCTGACTTTCTGGGTCCGTGAAATATGGACTGACCAGATGAAATGTAAGCGACACCGGATTCTGTATTTTTTTTTTTTTTTTTTTTCTTCTGTCGCGCTAATCGATCCTTAGACCTCAGCGACCCAGATATGGAGCCTGAACAGCAAATCAGATGGACAAAGCTCAATATATTCCTCGCCAAAGTGACCCAAGCTGCCGATGTTGAGTACACTTCCCCGTTGCAGGTGTGGATCAGCGATGCTATGGATGTGTCTCATCTGGCACTCCGCGGGCTTCGCCATGTGTTTGAAGAGGGCGTTCTTTCCGAACGAGTGGCTTCTACAGCTGGTCTGCTTGGCGTGTGTTACTGGCTAATCTGTGCCGGTGATAGGCTATGGGAAAATGTACTCAACTGCCGAAGATACAACAAGTATGATGGGCGACCAGGAGAAATGTATTCAAACCGCGGCTGGAAAGGCTTTGAACGCGAAAGATGGGATATATGGGTGCAAGGCATTCGTGATGCGAAGGTTACCTGCACGTCTGGTCAGGAACTCGTGGAAGATTTGATAGACCGTGCTCTAGCCAAAATTGAGCGTGTAATGAACAATGACATACCATCCTGTTAAGAATTTTCGATGCTTGCAAAATAGAGTAGTGCCCCTAGAGTATTGGAATGCATGATGGGTATATCTGCGACCGGCAATGATTTTGGGTTGATCATACCCCAAGTAGGTACATGAGATAAGCCTTGGACAAATCCGTAGATAATCTCTTTAATCCAATGTCTATATCAAGAATAGGGAAGTGAAAAATGAATGTAGGTTCTGTACAAAGAACGGATTCGCCAACTGAGACCTAGTATGCAAAGTGTATACAAACCACTACTCTAGCATCGCAACAATGTGTACATCAGGCTTCTAGTCAAAAACATACATTTGAATTAGATTTAGAACCGATTCTTAAAACCTCACAGAGGGTATTGATGTAGAGCTCAACTCAAAAATTGTTTACAAGAAAATATAACGTCAAACCCGCAGAGCGTCCACTAGTTAACATATTCAGAGACAAAAGTCACCTACCATGAGAATGTCTCTTCAAAGAGATCAACCGTCTTCTCTCCTTGCACATTTCTAACAGCCTCCCGCACACTATCGCCCAGGCCACCAGGACCGCAAACGCTCACCGCCATCGCACCGATCTGATCTTCTTTTTCTTTTTCTAGAACGGATTGCATACACGGCTTGCCGTGGTGAATGCTGACCGGTACGTTGGGCGGAGCGCATTGCATCCACAGCGAATCTGGTTGTGGGATGTATTCCTCGACTGTGTCCTTATGTGATGTGATGTGGAGGCTGATGGAGAGGAGGAGCCGTGGAAATTGGAAGTATGAGTGGCCGTTCGGGTTTGTTGAGCTGGTTAGGGATTCGTGGCCTAGTATTTCGGCCATGAAACTTTGAATCCAACTGAGATGGTCTTTTTTTTTAATGTTAGTGGTCAATTACATGTAAAAGGCGGGGTTGTCATACCTAGACTGCGGACGATCCAGACCAGATGCACCTTGCGAGTGGCTGTCTTTTGCTCGGTGAATGTGGCGATAACCTCATTCAAATATGACATTGGGTGGGTAATGCCGATTCCCCCAGCTATCAGCAGTAGAGTACCATATGAGGCTAGAGAATGGATACCGCCTGTGAGATGTTAGCAAATATGTTCAAGATCATCATCAACAATCAATATTTAAAATATGGAATCCATACCAAATGGCCCTTCTGCCAATGCCATAGCCTGAATACGTCCCTCAGCGGAGTCTTCCGCCTTCTGGAGCAACTTTTTCGTGAACCCGTCTTGGCCCTTGATCAGGACGGACATGGTTGTAGTCGGCGAGCCTCCGGTGAGAGCGTCCAAAGAGTCACCCGAGGCGCGTTTTTCGTTCATACCCAACGAATCCGATGTCGATGACCACGCAACCGTGAAGGGATGTGATGTCCACAGGCCAAGGCACGGCATGTAGAGGTACATATACTGGCCTGGACGGAAGCGCCATGCCCGAGCCACGGCAACATCAACGCGAGCAACAGACCCAGGCAGAACCTCGACCGTGGCAGTTGTGGGTCTTGAGCTAAGATTTCTCCAAAGTAGTATTCCAAGTCGACCTGCACGATCAATACCCCATAGGATCAAGGTGCCAAGAAGCACACGCTGTTGTAACAGGTTTTTCAGGTGATACCAAAGCGCCACGAAGGCAAATACGGCCAGGGCTATGTGTAGGTGAAGGAATAATTCGTAAAATGCATGTCGGGCCGGCGACAGAGATTGAATAAAAATGAAAAAGAATCCAAGGATAGCCTAAGGAGATATATGTTAGATGACCATCTGAAGCGCTGGTGAACTGCATCACATACCAGAAGGCCGCATAGAAAGAGTCTCTGTTGCCACATAACATATAGAACATAGTCCGTGCCATCTAAGTTCAAAAAGTCGATGTTAGTGAATGATTGCATCATATATGATTAAGGCAACTCACGCATATAAACCTGGTCGGCCAGCACGGCACTCATATGAATGACCGCATTGGCTGTGATTACACGTCCCACCCAACGATGCATGAAGTTGAACGTATCGAACGAGATACCAAGCAGCTGGATCAACGGATTGTTTCGTCCTGCACCCAGGACCAAGCCTGGCGTATTCATAACTGCTAGATGACCTGCGGCGTATTTGAGCTGGAACATCTTCTCGGAGTAATCGCTGATCCACCAATCAACGGTCACTACAATGAAAATTGTGTTCAAACTGAGGTAGATCAACAGGCAAATCACTTCCAGCCGTAGCGGTAGAGACCCCATATGCAGCCGTAAGATGCGGAACTCGCGGCTGTGGCGATTGCCCCATATCGGAGCATATAGCAAATGCTTTTTGAGAGCCGTATTAAGGCGATTTGTCTGGCATAGCTGCGTCTGGTCGGTTCCTTGCTGTGCCGCCTTCGATCGTCGACGATGTCGGATGCGAATGATGGTTTTCCAGACAAATAAAAATGCTATCAGTCCACCGACAACGAACAGAGGGACCGCAATCGTGGGGTTCATAGGCGGCTCCCCCGGGCCATTTCCTTCGAGTTCGACACCCATCGTGCCATTCAATAGGCAAGGGGAGCTCCAGCTGCAGATCCGCTCAGGTAAGAAGACCGTCAACCACAATGAGCATATATTACCCAACCCTCGAAAAGCTCAAGACCGAGAAAGGGCGAGAGCACAAGGTTTGGACGGGGTATGCTTTAAATGGTACTGGGATCGCGTGGAAAGGAAAGTAAGACGTGGGGATCATTGGCGTTGTATTAATTTCCAGACTAGCCATCCATGGATAGACACATGCCGTCATTGACCGGCGCAGGTCCCGCAAGTTTATTTTATTTTTTGCAAAGACGAACGAGCCCACCCTCCCGTTTACATGGCAAGCGTAGACAATTGGATCTCGCATGGTCAGTGTAACGTCGAATCGGCCGAAATGGACCTTGGGATGGGTGTGAAGTTTATTCTGAGTGGATATGATGCGCTCGGCTGAGTAGTGAAGAATTCTAAGTCTCTGGCAAATGCCCTGTCATGACCAAATCGAAGGGCATGTGGATCTCGGGATGATGTGGCGGGCTGGGTCATTGCAGGTGTAGGGGCTCTGGATAGGATGAAGGGGTAGCCGTATAGATGGAGCCGTTGTTCGGCAACCCGAAAACGGAATGTTGATCCCCGCTGTCACTTCCAGCATTCTTCGTCTCCCAATCGGTCGTGGGATAGGAATGAAGATATGAGAAAATCGAAAAATAAAATAAAATAAAATGACTAGTTTTGTTTCTGGATCGGGTCTATTCTGCTTGGTATTTGCAGATCAGTTTCCAGATTTCTCGATAACAAGACGCTTAACGTGAACTCGAGCCTCGAACACTCGGTTCAATGGGATGCAACTGCAACGTTCGAGACAATGGTCAAGTCCGAGGTGGAAACTGCAGCGTAGCAATCTTGGAACTTTGTATATATGACGACACACTATAGTAAGACCGAGAGCCGCAAAGACTTCTGAATTGGCTCGAGAAATTCTAGGTAGGGGTCCGTGTGTATAGAATGATACCAAATGGACGCAATTACCAAACCACTTCTCTCGGAATTCACGCCAGTCTAGTGAGCTCCATTAAGCTAAGGCCCTCGAAAGAACCACTGACCATTCTGCTTCACAAACTGCCCGAAACGAAACGGAGCGAAGGCCGTGGCGGGGCTGAAGCCTTGAACCAGATGGACAGTAAAATGATGAGGCCAGCCGAGCCATCGCCTTAGGAAAGCCAAGTATGTGGCAATGCGCAAGATAAAGGAATAGAGTAGTTTAGATGAGTCAAAGTTCGAGTACTTGTATGTGGTATCGTGACTACAGGTCAGGAGATCCACGGGTTGCTAGTGAGAGTTGAATGGAATTGATGGCCTTAGATTATTGGCAAAAGTAAATTGATGCCTTAACATTTCCATTCCCGTACGAACGGTTTCCTTGCATACAGCCTGTGGACCAATGATTATTGGGTTTAACATTCGAAACTTCCAAGCTTGAGCTTGATCTCCATCTAATCTGAACAGGATAACTGGACAATTATCTACTCATAAAATGAGCAGAAGCTGACAGAGACGAATGGCGAAAGGAGAAGTTAGGTAATCAATAATCTTTGGAGTGCTTCTTTTGGAAGGTTCTGTTACATCGAGATTCTCAGGGCCTAGATTGATCCATACAAAAATACCACATACAACATACATACTAGAACGATATGGTTCCCAAGTGACCGGAAACAACAGCCGAAATCCTATGTGCACACCACCTTCCATTCTCACCTATGACCTTTGTGACTATCCTGACATTGTTGAGCTATGTCAAAAGAAGACTGCTGCAAGCATTGGAAACAAAGGCAGAACGTTACTGTTCTTGTAAAACCATCCCACTGTAAACCCCGATGCTTGGGGAGTTAAAAAAGAAAAAAAAAATCAATGACAGATCAGGAAGAGAGTGAAAGGTTTTATCTAGGTAAGACCAAAACTGAATTGCCCAGAAAGACTCTCAGCTAGAACAGGCTGAACGCAGAAATGTTCTCTGTTAGTAGCCCTGGTTCTATATTGTATAGTATAGGCAAAGGTCCTCTATGCTGCCTAAATTCCAATACACGTGCAGTTTTGAACTACGTGAGTTTATTGTAAAAGTTATGATGATGCCATTCTAGTTGACGCTAGAGCTTATACAAACACGCTATTCTTGATACCATTCCATTTCCCTCTCTTTTCCTTATGGCCAAAAAGACCGTCGACCATAACCAAAATAGAAATACAAAAGCCGAAAACGCCGTCATTATTGGTTTTGCGTAAGTGACACAGCGTGCTGTGGTCACTGGAGATCTCAGCCAGGTACCTCCTGCACATTGGGAGGGGTATGGGGGAGTGGCTGTTCATCTTCCTCAATAGAGAGGCTGCCATACCCAGTGTCATTGCTGGCTGATCGTCCCCGACGCAGAGGGGCTCTTTGGACAGGATGATCAACTAGATCTTGATCGGCGTCGCTCTGAGATGACTGGGATTGTCCCCTGCGCCAACGGGTCCTGCGCTTCCTAGAAAAAGCCCTGTCAGGCGCAGTGTGAACAAAGTCATCAACATTGATGCCTGCATTTTGGCAGACTGATGTGCACGAATTGACGATCACCTCTACAAGAGTAGATGAAAAGCCGTAGAAAGCCGGGGTGTAGGCATTTCGGGCCCAATAAATGAGTTCTGCTGATACCCGCCCGAGATTGGGGATGTCGCGGGGGCAGATGGAGAGCTTGCGGGTCGAACGCGGCTTTTCTTCAGCTTCATCGTCTGCGGAAGAGGTAGCCTCTGAGGCTGGACTCGAAGGGGAGGACGAATCGGATGACGCGATATAATCCACGTCAGAGGCGAGGAGGTGTAGGAGGTGGTAGACAGACGAAAACCCAATGAGAGAAAGCTCGATGGGATCGATCGGAAGCTGGTTGAACCAAGTGATGGCCTTTTGAATGGTGAAAGACTCGGGTAGTGAGGAGGCGTCACCTGTGGATCGTGCGGTGACAATGGCGGCAATCATAGCACAACGCACGGCAATGGATATTTCGTCCCGCACAGAAACGGGCAGAGAGGAATCAAGGAAGTTGGATGAGTGGCTCTGACTTCCTTTTCGCTTCTCTTTTGGCAGTGCGGCAAGAACTGCCCCGACATTTTCAATGCGGCTTTGTTCAAAGAATACGGCTTTCATCACGAGTGCCCGAGTGTGCGCGGCGGAAAGAACTGGCGCGACGTCAAGAGACATACGAATCTTCTCTTTGAATGCATCACGGCTTGCTTTGGACACCGGGCCCTTCTCGCTTGCTTCGAAATAATTGAGAAGAGCGGTTTGCAAAAGGTGACTGGACCACCAAGCCGCAAGTGCATCTTGCGAACATTGGATGGCCGGGTCCTCGTCCACAACATCAAGCAGCACTTCGTCGTCGCCAGTACCTTCTTGAGTTGGTCGATTCCATGTCAGATTCACAGCACGTTGAATAATATTGTCAATCATAACATCTTCGCAATCCAACTTGATCAAGGCAGCAAGATGAGGAGGAAGCTTATCAGGGTGACCCTCAGGGAGCGCGGTATTGATTTCTCGAGCCACACCCCACTGGAATCTGGCAAGAGCTCGCGCAATGTCGTTTGACACATGGAACGACCAGGAGCCTGCCTCTCCGACGTTCCACAAAAGAATGCGGACATGCAAGGCCTTGATTATCATTCTTGTGGGAGTGCATGGGAGTGTGCCGGCAGCAAAGATAGTGAGCACAAGGCGGCTCTTGCTGATCTCAGCATCCCCACCAGTGAGTTGAGCATCAATTGCGATATCCCAAGTCTTGACTCGGCCTTTCTCATCCTCCTCGGTGATTCCCGTGGCCCATGAGTAGAGCTTCCATCCCATGAAGCATCGTAAGACGTATTCAAAGCATCTCGAGGTAACGACATACCACTCTCGGAAGAATCTATGACGTGGAACACCGACCCGTTGCATGCTAGTTAGCCAAGCCTGCCGGCGGAAATCACTAGACGTAAGAGGCGCAGTCGGGCCCTCTGAAGCCGATTTGGATGGGCCACGTCGCGTGATGGGCTGCGCATTGAACAAGTAGACAAAAACAATGAAGGCACTACCAACGACCAGCGTTGCTAGCATGAGGAAATGAGAAAACGCACGAGCCTGCCACGAATACCAGAACTGCTTCAGGTAAAATTCCCAGTGTGCCAGCGTGGGTGTTTGGAAACGGCTGAGAAGGCGAATGGGGAGTGCAAACAGGCCCTTCGGCTCGGACTCGGAATCGTCAGAGCCCAAACCTTCAAGAACCATCAGACCGGCAAGGGCACCCAGCATATACTTGTTAGGCATCCTTGAGCGTCGAGTGGACCTATCTTCTCTCGCATATTGCGGTTGATGAGACGAGGATGATGACGAGGGGTATTTAATATAGGATTCGGCAAAGACTCCTTGCTTTGCAGTTTCAGCTCGCATACGTTTCCACGCATCGGGAACCGGAATGAGGCCTTCTGGGGGGTTCTGAGAGGTGGGTGAACTGTCGCTGGACACCTCTTCCGCCTGAGAAAACACACTAGGTGAGGTACCGGAGCCCGAGTCTGTCGAGGCGTAGTTGCTGGGCGAGGACACAGAGGCCGAGGATGTGGCGGCCTGATCTGCTGCTTTATCAGCTTGGCGGAGTCGGTTCTTCAAATCAGTGTTTTCGTCTTCCAAACGTTGGTTACGAATTTCCAAATGCTTGATGTACTCCGTCGCTTTCGACAAAATAGATGCTTTGTTGAGCTTGTTCGCAGCATTTGCTCCCTCCGGTTCGTCGTCATCATCGGGTGAGCCGCCATTCGGATTCTTGACTGACCGAAGGCTGGGAACACTATCGCGAAGTTCGGCGATTTTATCGTTCAAGTTGGCACGATACCGCTTCTCGATGACGTTGTGAGCTCGCTTTTTGGCAGGCATTTTCTTGCCCGGTTGCACTGGTCCAGTCACTGTGGTAGCGTCGTCATCGCTGCCCGTCTTTCGCTTCCGGCTTGTCCCAACACTTGAGATTGGAGACACCAGACCTAAATTTTGTTGCTGGCTGGTGTGGCAGTTTTGTCCAGACAGGCTGTGGGTGTACCCAAGGTTGTTCCCGGCATTGGGCTCGGATGGAATTTCCATTAAGCCGAGCGGAAGATTAGGCGAGAAGTCTTTGTAGTTCAACTGACCTGGGGAGCTCATATCTGTTTGCGGGGAAATAGATGGTAGATCCGTAGATGAAGCCATTGGCTTTTGATCTCCTTCCGAGAACATTGGCTCATCCCATCGCATCCATTGGGTCCAATCTTGGTTCACATTTTCTCCGGTTGGATGTGTGAACAGATGACCATTTCCTCGAGCCTCATCTGCATCACTGGTCCGTGAAGAGAAAAGCTGAAAGTCATTCTTCATCTTGGGACCGGTCATTTTGGCTAGTATTCCACGCTTGGTTCCTCGACCAATGCCCGAGGCAGTCTAAGTCCGATTGATGTATTAGGCCTTGGGCACTTTAGATGGTTGGCACTAAAGGACATGTTAGTTCCAGTAATAGAAAAAAAAAAGCCACTGCTTCTTTAAAAGAACAGAATTTAGCTGCCTGCACAGCCATATTAGAGGCAAAGCAGGCAGCTCGGCCGATACAGGCTAGCGGCGATCCAGTGACTGCGGTAAGGAGATAGATGACACTGACTGGGTTCAACTTCAAGTGTAACGCTCGAACTCAAATGAATGAAGCTTAACAGACGTGTATGTACTCTGTGCTTTCTGCAATGAGAGATGTGAAGACTGAGTTGCGAGGAGGGGAATGTGAGAGTTACAGTCACGGGTGGTGCTAGGCGATTGGAGGAGCAAAAAGCAGGGGTGTGTAAGATACCCACATAAAACAGACTTGATGCAATCACTTAGGCCCAAGGAACCAGGTGGGTTCTAAACCCGCTGTGCATAGGTGATCTCTGAGTGATAAAGGGAAGGTGGATCACCAAGGTAGGTAGCCCTTGAGAACACAGAAAACAACGTAACGAGAGACAGCCCTGGAGATACAAGCTATTGCTTCAAACTGAGATCGAGCTTCCAATCTCCGTGCATGAAGATCAGGGGAGGTTGTATGGACCAAACTACACCAGCCAGGCAGCCGAATGGGAAGGAAATCTTGTCGTATGATCGCGGCTGGCGGCACTTCCGGCTCGCCGGTCACCCCTGACGGTATTCCGGCTGTTAATTATGCTGACTCATGATTATTTGGACTTGTAACACTGTAATTTAATGTTTCATGACGGTAATCAATGGCCAATGTTCATTGGTTTAACTATCTCCACTCTGTTTCTTTGCCCACTGGAGCCCATGTGATTTCCAACTTTGGAAGCTTTTTCAACTTCTTTACATTCCCCTTTCTACTTTTTTATATCTCTATATCTTCTGAACATTCAATATTAGATTACTGAAATGGAGCCAACCAAACTTCGTTTCTTTTTCGTGCCTGATCATCTTGACACGTCATCGCGTGATGTCTTGGCGCCCCGCAGGTAGACGACGGAAAAAAATGGGCGTGTTGTGATCTTATCTGATCGCGCTAGTCTCCACTCCTGCCTCACCGGTAGCACCGGAAACTACCTGCATAGGTAGAGGAACGGCGCAAGAGGCGAATGGGATCAATGGTACTCCACACAACCTAGCAGGCTGTGTGGATCTCGAATCCGGTGTTGTAGCCCACAGTGATTTACATTAACAGAAGCACTCGGGCTCTCGTGGCCACTTTTTGACAGGTATCCTAAATAAACTTTTCCGTTTACGCTTTGGACAACATCCACCCTGTATCATGATCCTCTAGCTTCTTGAAGATCCATTTGCTTCCCATCGGGCTGCTTTCGGCTGGACTCGGCAGTTTGGTCTCAAACTTTCCTGAACCAGCCTACTAATCTCATTATTATCCATTTTTATCTACTTACAAAAAGCCGGACTATGCACTCAGTCCTACCAGATGGCATTAATAAAATATTGTACTTAGTCAACTCCTTCACCGACTTCTTCACCACATCACCGCCCGCCTTGTATGGGGCATGAGGCTTGAGCCTCTGTAACGCATTCTCCACCCCGGCTAGCACAGAATACAAAGCCACCACGTATTTGGTCAACGCAGAGGGCATACGTGGATAACTCCCGAAGTCACCAACACTATATCTAAGCTAGTGAGAGGCTATTCGTTGCGACCAATAATGGGCTGGCGTGGAGCCTAGATCGCGATGTGCAGGCCTGAGTGTTAGACACCATGGGTGATGTCGTTTAGGTAAATTTTGGGTTTCCGCGTATGTACCCCGTTCGTGGATCCTTGCTCTTGTAGGCGGCATATCCGTGCCTTGTATGTCTGCGTTACCTTGGTCTCTACGCTCACAAGAGGATATTCTTGCATTATACGTGGGCTTATCAGTGGGACCCTGTTAGTGTCCGGTGGGAGCGTAGCAGCTTCTTCGGAAGGACCTGGCTTGATAGTTGGAGTTACATTTTCAACACTTTGGGTTTCGACACTTTGGTCGACAACGACAATTCTAGTTGACCTCACTTGCGCTGTAGATTGTACTTCATGCGGGGGAAGATAAGGGAAGAAGTCCGCATCGCCCTAGACGCCGATGATCAGGCTACCAAGGTCCTGTGCCGGATGCCAGTCCATTCAAAAACCGAAAATACCCCGAAAGTCATTTAGTGAGTACCCTGCGATTTGCTACTACTACTCATCTCACCCAAACTGCGACATGGAATTTGTTATTCGAGTCAACCAATATATTTTTTTTTTCCAATTTATTTCTTAAATATGGATCCATGCTTCATGAACTCCTGCAAAAGCGCTCTATGATAACGTGCGTTGGTACACACATTATACTGAACAAATTACTACCCAAAAATGGACTACCGAAATTGAAGTGATCTCCACAGGGAAACATGATGCCCGACTTTAGTGCTGCAGGGACGGTCAGTCACGCGAGTCTACAGTGTGTCCAAGGAGTCAGTGCGACTTACCGAAATGTCTTCCCATTTCTCCCAGCCGCGTCCACGGACTTGGGTCAGTTCTTCATCTGTCAGCTGCTTGCCGGTAGTAAAGTATCCCGATTGGATCTTGGCATCGATCTCGACCCTTGAATCACTAGGGATCATCTCGTCGGGGATAGGGATACGCTCGATAATCTTGATGCCAGAGTCCACGATGGCGTCATGCTTCATATTCGACATTGACAGCATGCGATCGATTTTCGTAATGCCGAGCCAGTGCAGAATATCGGGCATAAGAGCTTGGAAGCGCATCTACAGTGGAGGCAGTCAGTACATGCGAGCCACCTTAAATGATCAGGATCCTTACATCGCGGACACCGGCAATATTCTCTGTCCGAGTGAAGTACTTATCGGCGGTGTCACCTCCACGCTTGCGCGCATTGTACACAAGATACTTAATCACTTCTCCAAGGGCTCGACCTTCTTTGCGGAAGTAGATGACCACACCACTGCCGCCGTTCTGTGCCTCTCGGATTGCTTCACGAATACCGAACGCCAAGTATGGTCGGCAAGTACAGATATCTGACTGGAACACATCACTCCCATTACACTCATCGTGGACACGCAGAGCCAGCTTGACATTCTCATCCGCGATCCGCTCTGGTGGGCCGAAGATGTACACGGTAAGGCCTCCGATCGGGGGCAGGAAGGTTTTCAGATCAGGCCGAGTGATAAGCTCGGGGTAGCTTCCACCGGTATGCTCGAACAAGGTGCGGCGAAGAGTGCCTTCGTCAACCCCAAATCGTTCTGCCACACCGGGAAGATACCAGACAGGCTCGGCTGCTACTTTAGTGACACGAACCTCACCAGTTGAATCAACAAGAATAGAACCGTCCACCTCGAGCAGGCCATTCTTCACATCCTCGGCAATCTCCGCGAGTTTCATGTTAGCGCGAGTAACCGCCATCGTTGGACGGATATCCCAGCCAGCCTCCAGCTCTGCCTTGAACTGGTTAACAATGTCATGGCCGTAAGGATCCATAGAGACGATCTTTTTCTTATCCGCCCAGGCAGGCTGCGGGGGGAAATTGAAAGTCGGCTCAGAGTTACGGAAGTCCGGTCGGAAATCCGCATCCAAGTCACCAGCGGCAATGGCAAGGGCATTGTAGATGCTATAACTTCCACCATGGGCACCGATGGCATTGCGGCGCTTGACGAGGTTCCCGCTGCGGGATACAACTACCGGACCCCGGGATTTGGCGTCGGGAGCGCCCCACTCAAGGGGGACGGGGTCAATGCCGCTCTGGCCTGGGTAAGTGGTCAACTATACTTGATATCAGCATCATACAAACGTTGAGTCAGAACGGATCTGATCCTCCTTACGATAATATGGTTGCTGTATCGGTGATTGGGGTCGGTGGGGGGAGCTGTTGGAGATGGTTCCGTTGATACGGGCAAGACAGTGGCAATGGGTTCTGTTTTCAACATGATTACTGAGAGAAGAAAGGCTTCAGGGTGATGAAGCAAAGATATGAAGAGAGTTTACAAGAAACAGAAAGGAAAGGAAGGGAGAAAAGAGCGCTGTGAGGAGGGGAAGTACAGCGTCACCATGTGACTTATCTTTCTCCTCACGTTATCTGAGGGGCTTATCTGCAGGCTGTGTACAATCAGGAGGAGATATTGTTTTATATTAGTTTCTTGGCTTTGATTATCATGTAGTATTGTATAGAAATAGCGGTATACATCTATTCTAAAGCTTTCCCCAGCTTCCATAGTAGATCCACCCACCGGTTTCCACCGGAGTTCCTCGGAGTTCAATCTAACTGGTCGGAGTAGCGAACACCGAAACTCCTTGGATTGCATTTTGCTCTGAGAAACACTACAATTAAGCCAGAACCTGTATTTCCCCATGAGGTAAAGGATTTTGGTTCATATTTTAATGCCACACGCTAATTACATATATCCACGGCAGTACATCGCGTCGTCGGAATGGCAAGCCAGCCTCCTGCGAGCCATGTCGCAGAGACAAAGTCCGTTGCGACCATGCATTACCTGTATGTACTCGCTGCAGAGATCGTGGGGTTTCCATGCGATGTTACTATCACCCCGCTCCCCTGACGAGGGCCAAGGGCCGCCGTATCTTCCCATTGGCAGAGGGAGTTCCCTTTGATCGACCTCCATCAGCAAGGTGCGTCAATCATAAATCCACTCTTATTGTTTTTTGTCTCATTTTCGAGTTTACATCATTGTGCCAGTGGTCAATTACCACCGCAATGCACTTTTGTAGCTATATCCCATATGTATACATATCAGGCTCTTATGATTGCTGTTTCGCAGGAACCCTCATTCAAACGAGACATCGCTCAACCCCGATGTCACAAATGCGGGACAAGAGGATTCTTCTGGACGCATAGCCCGTACCCAACCATTGCTTTCTGGGTACTTCGGCCCCACGAGCTTCGTATCCCCCCTAACCGAGGATGTCGACTTGGGCTCGGAAGGTCATGCTCTGGGCCTGGAGATCGAATCTGCCCAGAGAGTCCTGCCACCGTACTGGGTCCACAAGATCTCCGAAGTTCTACTAACACTCAACGATTTTGCGAAAGTTGAAGCCCTGATCCGCGAGTATTATGCACTGAGCCAAAGCGCGATTATACCGGCACCATTCGTGCTCAACAGCCTTGGTCCGGTTGGGTCTATGTGCAAAGAGAGCATATCAGACCATAATCTTGCTGATTTCACATCTTCATTGACTGTGAACATAATACAAAACACATCTGAGATTTTTGAGGTTCCGTCTACAACACAAGGGCGGGACTTCCATACGCTATTTACGGGTCCAGCAATCCGCCTTGAGATCATTGGGCTTCTCTGCGCTCTCGCTGGTCGAGCAAGATATCTGGGGCTTGCTAGTAATAGGTTCGATGAGGACCAAACTTCACGGTCTCAATATGCGCGTAAGATGCTTGCAGCGAGCGATGCCGCATTGCACATTTGCAAAATCCTTACGCCACTTAATGACCTAACAATATGGCTATTACATGAGATTCTCCTGTTGTCGGATATAGTACATGGCGATTCAAGTTTGCTCAGCCCAATCCATCTGCCATAATGCATTTCCTAACACCTTCTAGGCCCCGCCTGCTGGAAGCGACTAGGCGAGCTTTCCACCGACATCTTCGCACTTGGTCTCCACCGTGACTTCAAGACCTCGAGCGATGTGCCCGAGTTTCTCTTAGAGTCGCGCAGACGTCAATTCGCTGCAGCTTATCAGCTGGACAAAAGCATAGCCACCTTCTTAGGTCGACCGCCAAGAATACCATGGCGATACGCCGATTGTCGCATGCCCCTTGATATCAGCGATGAGGCACTCGCTACCGATAATATGGTCTTGAATTACTCTCACGACTATATTGACGAGAATGGCTGGAGTCGCAACGGAGTAGTCCAGCGGTCATCATGGATACGAGTGCGATTTATCATCAGTACATTTCGGGATGAGATTCTCGAGGTCTCTTTGCAGAACGTGACACCGGAGATGGAAAATATGCTCAGGTATATCATCACATTCTTTCTACTTTATGTTCACCAGCTAATACCATACAGAAATATTTCGCAGCGATGTCATCTAGCATGGGATTCGCTCCCTAATTGCTTACGCTACACCCCACAATGTTGGGATCAAAACTTACATGTAGCCGTGTGCCTCATGATGATTATTTCATATCTGGCATATCTATACAATGACTTCCTCATCCAACGACTCATCGCCGGGAAGAATAACCCGCGCGGAAACACAGCACTGCTCTCCGTGAGCGCCGACATACTATCAACGGTCTTGACCTTAGGCATGCAACGCGAACAAATGGTCGATCTCCGGCCAGATTTTGCGTGGACGGTATGTACTATCAAAAAGAAACATGATTCTGCTCCATTCTAACACTGAGTGCATGACAGGTCCTGTTATACGGCTTCCCCAGTGCCAGTCTACTCATCAAAGCCTTGCAGCACCAAAAACGCACAGGCGAGCCGTTCCTCTACGAAGGTTCGAGATCGGCACTTATCCGCAATTTAAGTGTCTTTATTTCGCATCTTGAATCTATCGTTCGGCCGGATAATGCCAACTATGCTCTATTTCAACGGGCCAGCCAACTGTTCTCTA